AGTTTTCATATCATTTACTCAATAAACAAAAATCTTCTGCTTGCCTATAACTCCAACAGTAATGATTATTTTTATTTTACAATCATAAAATGACTAGCTCAGCTCCAGTTTGCCTGTGAGCATAGTAGCAAAGGAGACCCTTAACTTTACACAGAGCCAGCCCTGGAAGGCGGGGTTTTCTGTATGACAGAGGTTTGAAAACTGTGGCTCTCCCAGCTCAGCTGGGATAGCTGGATGGTAAGTACCAATAAGGCATCAGCACCATATCAGTTTATCAGTCTCTAATACTGAAACTGCTTCAACTACAAAATTCTCCAAAATCTCCAGCAAGTTGACCTAAAATCCCCAGTCAATGAACAATATGCCACTGAACCAGCATTTCCAAAGCAGTCATCAAGGAGCACAACAAGCAGTGACACAGAAGGTGTATAGACTCTATGAGTCACAGCTTTTTATCAAAGACATGCATCTCACACCTCTCTAAAGGCGGTGCGCCTTTGGAGGTAAAGTTAAACTGTTGAAAGGTTGCAACACCTGCTGTGGCTGTAGAGGCCGATATGGGAGAGACATGTTTTGTTGCAGCTGGGGCAGATAAAGGCATCTGGTAGTGCTGCTGCAGATGCACATGGTGTTTCTTCTCTCTGCATTCCTCCCAGAGGTCATTCTTCCTCTGGTCACTGCTGTGGATGCACAACCTATTTGATCGTTTCCTGGCACTGTGGTCATCTGCAAGGGATTTCCACATGGCAGGGTTGATGTTTCCAGCTTTCATGTCAGGTCTGCAGACATCTTAGTAGTACATTGTTGGTCTGCCCCTGGGCCTGGTACCTAAAGCCAGCTCTCCGCAGAGCATGTACCTGGGGATCCTGCCATCTTCCATTCTGTAGACAAGACCAAGCCAGTGTAGACACTGCTGAGACAGGAGTGTTCTGCACTAAGCTTCTGAGCCATGTACAAAGTGCAAAGTAATGGCAACCTTCTTTTCACTTCAGACTCAACCAAGTATCTTGTTATGAGCTGGGCGGCAGGGAGTAGGCTGTATGCAAGAGACCCTTCTAATCCCTGGATCAAGGAAGTATTAAAATATAAACAAGGATTAAAATTCCTGGTGAGGTGATAGCCATCCACACCAGTGGGAAATACGTGGGCCCCCCTCACTGACTCTGACTGGTAGTTAGAAAGACAAAGGTGAGAGTGGAGTGATGTGAGCTAGAAGCTAGAAGCAGCAGGCTGGGAAGCCAGAGAGACAGAGTGATGCTTGATTTCTGTTTGAATACAAGACTTTTGCTATGGGGGGGAAGCAAGGCCCTATTGGGGTGTTAATGCTGTGAGCCCCTCCATCGTAGGCTCAAGCTGTATATATGTGTAAATAAACTATATATCATAAAGCAGTGGGGTCAAAGAGGGCCAGATTTGATGAAGTGAAGGGCTGTGTGGGCCGACCAAAGTTGTTGACCTTATTTTAGGATTTTTTTTAGGATTTTACCCCAGGAAATAAACTGCCACAGGGGCTGGATTAAACTGACCGGAGGGCCGGATTAAGCGCCTGAAATGGACTTTGGACATGCCTGTCCTAAAGACTCCATACATTAGGGATCTCTAAGGGACAGGAAGATTCTGGTCATTTCTACTCAGTATGGTGGGATTTTATTTCATGTATTATAGTTTCAGATTTACAAGTATCTATCCCCTATCTAGAGCAATATGGATGTTTTGATCTTAGATTGGGTGGTATCATTTAATACGTTTAGGCTTTGTATGCCCTGCATTTAGCTGGATACAGTATAATTTTTGTTTTGTTTTGTTACTGTTCATCTGTCTTTGTGGTTCTAAAGTAATTTGAAAATCAATTTAAAAACCTTTTAAAAAAACCAAACAGTTCTACAGTGGTACCTCGGGTTACATACGCTTCAGGTTACATACACTTCAGGTTACAGACTCTGCTAACCCAGAAATATTACCTCGGGTTAAGAACTTTGTTTCAGGATGAGAACAGAAATCGTGCTCCGGCAGCGCGGCAGCAGTGGGAGGCCCCATTAGCTAAAGTGGTGCTTCAGGTTAAGAACAGTTTCAGGTTAAGAACGGACCTCCGGAACGAATTAAGTACTTAACCTGAGGTACCACTGTATGTTGCTTTGGGGGGGCAAAGCCCACCCACAGCAGCACGCATGAAAAAAGGCTACAATTATACAAAGATTTTTTTAAAAAAAAAATCCAAAATAATATATTTTACCCCAGCTCCAATCCAGCAAACAGGACACAAACTAGTCAAGGGAAGGCCAGATAAAACAAATGGGTGTTTAATAGCCCTCCCAAACTGTGGACTTAAGAGCTGTAACTCTCTTTCCATATTATATTTCTCTTATCTTGCAATATGCTTTCAGTGCTGCTGCACCATAAATCCAGTCAACTCACTTCTCCTTCCAGCAGTACTCTTAACATGTCCTTCACTTTCTCAGAGGATCCCCATCCCCTGTAACAGAGACTTCCCTTTTTTCCATGACATGGTAAGGCATTAGTAAGATACAGGTGCTATTGTTAACAAAGTGGCGTAAGCTTAGTTATTACATGATTATTCAATGAAGAAATGTAAGTGGTTACTTTAAAATAGTAGCTTATGTTTAAAAGGGAGTGGAGAGCTCCACCCTGCCAGAAGCTGAAGAAGGGTGTAGGTCACATACTAACTTGAAATCGCCTCCTCCATATGATTGCTTCTCGCCTCTACTTTGATCCCAATGGCAGATGGCAAAGCAATATGGAAACGTTTACACTATACGGATAGGACTTCTACCTGTTGTAGTACTGTCTGGCTTCCAAGCCGTGAAAGAAGCCCTGATCAACCACGAGGAAGATTTTGTTGACCGACCGGTGACCCCTTTCCTTAGAACAACATTAAAAGGAAGGGGTAAGTTGTGGATAAAAAGATGTTTTACTTGTCTTCCCCCCAGGGAACTCATAAGAATTGGAAGACTGAGGGCAGACAAACAAAAGTACTTCACACAGTGCAAAAATTAAACTATTGAATTCAACTATTGAAGGCAAATTGGAGAGCTGTGGAAGATGCTTAGATATGGTTGCCATATTTCAAAAAGTAAAAACCAGGACACCCTGAAAGATCCCCCAAATTAGGAAGACCCCAAAATTGTTGAGCTTCGGGGTGGTTGTTTTTTTTACAAAAACACAAATCTTCAGTTAACTTGCCAAAGATCCAGGACAAACCGCCACCTTTCCCCCTGGATGTCACTTCCACCTTTGAAATCCCAGTATGGCAGCCCTAGCCTAGACAACTTTCAGGGAGGATAAAGCTATTCATGGCCACTAGCCACTATAGCGAAGCTCTTTCTCCACAATCAGAGGCAGTATGCATCTGAATTCCAATTTCTGGAAACAAGAGGAGAACGTAGTGTTGAACTCAAGTCCTGCTTGTGAGCTTCCAGCGAGCATCTCGTTGGCCACTGTGACAGGAGGATGAGCCATCAGGCTCTTGTTACTGTAGAATGCAACCATTATGGAGCTAAATTTAGAACCTGTTATCATCAGGCGCTGCAGCAATAATCCACTATTATACTTTTTTGCCCCTTCCAGTCCTTTTATATTCTAGCATTAAACACTTTAACTGAGCATTGTTATTAAAAAGAATGTGGGAAATCACATATAAAGTCGACCACTTAACAACATTTAAGTAATATTAAAAAGTGTTTGAATTTAAGGGAGCTGGTACAATGAGCATGGAGGTACCCCATGTTAAGAAGTCACAATTCTAATAGCTACCGGTAATCAACAAAACCCAATCTTCTACGGATTTATCTGTAACCCTTCTATAATGAATAATTACCAATTACTTAAAAATAATAACAAAGAGCGTCAACTGCTACAGCTTGACACCTTGGGTGATGACTAAGTGCCTCTTACACACCAGACAAAAGAGTACTTGAAATTAGTTCTGATACCGTGTCCTCTTTCTTTGTATGCCCAGTCAAATAAGATGCTATAATGGGTAGGCAAGCTAAGGCCTGGGGGCTGGATCCAGCCCAATTGCCTTCTAAATCTGGCCTACGGACGGTCCGGGAATCAGCGTGTTTTTACATGAGTAGAATGTGTGCTTTTATTTAAAATGCATTTCTGGGTTATTTGTGGGGCATAGGAATTTGTTCATTATTTTTTTCCAAAATATAGTCCAGCCCCCCACAAGGTCTGAGGGACAGTGGACTGGCCCATAGCTGTCAACTTTTCCCTTTTCTTGTGAGGAATCCTATTCGGAATAAGGGAATTTCCCTTTAAAAAGGGGAAAAGTTGACAGCTGAAAAAGTTTGATGACCCCTGCTATAATAGTTCCTAGTTTTACTAGACATAAGGGCAAGTAGGTAATTATAAGGCATCTTATCTAGTTTCGCTGTGGTTCTGCACCAGCCTTGCATTTCTTGAGTTCTGAAAGAAAGTGCTGCTCTTGAATGCATGCCTAAGCACTTAATTTGGCCTCTTCTAAGCTGGCAACCGGGACACGGGTGGCTCTGTGGGTAAAACCTCAGTGCCTAGGACTTGCTGATCGTATGGTCGGCGGTTCAAATCCCCGCGGTGGGGTGAGCTCCCGTCTTTCGGTCCCAGCTCCTGCCCACCTAGCAGTTCGAAAGCACCCCTAAGTGCAAGTAGAGAAATAGGTACCACTTTATAGCGGGAAGGTAAATGGCGTTTCCGTGTGCTGCGCTGGTGCTGGCTCACCAGAGCAGCTTTGTCACGCTGGCCACGTGACCCGGAAGTGTCTGCAGACAGCGCTGGCTCCCGGCCTCTTAAGTGAGATGAGCGCACAACCCTAGAGTCGGACACGACTGGCCCGTACGGGCAGGGGTACCTTTACCTTTACTTTAAGCTGGCAACCAACCCAACAATCTTTTGGGCATGAGTATTTGTGACCAATAATTTGTCGTTTCTTGATGGCTTCAGGAATTGTATTTTCAAATGGTCACACATGGAGGCAGCAGAGGCGGTTTGGTATAGCTACTATGCGGAAGCTGGGGCTGGGGAAGAAAGGCATGGAGCACCAAATAGAAGAGGCAGCCCATCGTCTTGTGGAGGTCTTTGCAAATTCAAAGGGTATGTGATACAAGGGTGATAATGCTGGCACATTCCAGTCTGCTGAAACCTTTATTTGATCTATCTATGTTGGGGGGGAATGTCATGTATTTTGCTTGTTTTCTTCTGGAACAAATTATTGCTGGAGATTCCAGTATCCTTCCAACCCTAATGTGAAATTTATCAGCTTGACAGTAATATGGCAGTAAATAACTTCTTTTGCAGGACAGCCATTTGATCCATCGGTACCAATCACTAAGTCAATCTCCAGTGTAATATGTGCTTTGACATTTGGAAACCAGTTATCTACAGATGATGAAAACTTTAAGAGACTGCTGGAGATACTTGAAATGAGCTTACAATTTGGAGGCAGCTTTTTCCATGCTGTGAGTTCTCCCCCCCCCTTCCTTATTGAGCCAGACAGATCTCCCCAATGCCCTAACCCATGGCCAGTAGCACTCAGGAAACCGTTTTGGTCATGGATAGAGTGTTGGGCATAGATGGAGAAGGCCAGGCTTTAAATACCTGTTTGGTCCCTCTTTCTCAGCCTAACCTTCCTCACAAGGGTTGTTGTAAGGGTTAAAGACGGGGAGTGGGTGGGAATAGTCTTCCGTTTTGCAAGGTCCTCAGATCTTTGATGACATTTCTTTTCTCTTCCTCAGAATTTTGCATAAGTTGTTCTTTTTGCAGTCATGGACAGATAGTACCTCTGATATTTAGTACTATTCTTTTCAAGTTATAAATAAACATTTGGATTTTTCTTCCCTTTAGCTTTATGAAATGTTCCCATGGCTCATGCAATATCTCCCAGGAACTCATAAAAAGATATTTTCTGCCTATGATGAGGCAATTTCCATTGTGCAGAAGGAGATAGAGAAACATAGGGAGCAACATTCCCTGACTGAGCCACAGGACTACATTGATTTCTATCTACTTCAGCTTGAGAAAGTAGGTACAATATCCTCATTGTATGTGAATTCTGCTCATCACAAAAATGCATACCCTTGGCTAAAGTAGGCAAATATATGCAAATCTTAGTTAAAACAACACACAAAATTGCTTGATATTAGAAGAAATTGCTTTGCCAAGCTGTGTATACTAGGTTAGGCAATACTGAATACAAAAATGTGTATATTAAGAGAAAATTGCACAAAAATACTGAAGCATTTTCATGAACACCAAAAAGTGAAATGCTTGAAGTCTGTTGTAAAAGAAATTTAATATTTATTATTATCCTTAACAGACCCAGAATGATCCTTATACTACATATGATGAAGATAATCTGGCTGAGTGTATTCTGGATTTTTTTGGTGCAGGGACAGAGACAACTGCTTCTACTCTGAAATGGGCAATGCTCCTTATTGCAATTCATCCAGAAGTCCAAGGTAAGAGCAGTGCCGGATTTAGGGCAGTGCAGGCAGTTCCCCGCACAGTGTGCCAAGGCAAGGGTGGAGAACTGTGACACAGAGCACTTGACAACATGCACAGAACAGAAAGCAAGAGGGAAGCGGGCACCAGAATTTGTCCTTGTTTAGAGCACCATATTACCAAAGTCTGAGCATGGTAAGAAAGACCTGTTCACAGTGGCGTAGCGTGGGGGGGGCGGGGGGGCGGCCGCACCGGGCGCAACATCTGGGGGGGGCGCTCGCACTCACAGCTCTCTGCCCCTACCTGGCTCACTCACTCTCTCTCACTGCAGTGCTGGCTGTGCGAATCCGATCCGAGCCACCGGGTCGCCGCCCACTGTGGAGGGGGGGGTGCCAGGCGTGCGGTGCGGAGAGAGAGCGAGGGACTCGAGTGCTAAAATCCACGGGTTAGGGAGCGCAAATTACTTGCCTTGCCCCAGGTGCTGACAACCCACGCTACGCCCCTGCCTGTTCAGTGACAGCAACAGCCCATCCTGAATGAAATGGTCTGTATTCCCTCCTGAGACTTCTCTCTCAATCTGGAAAATACTTCCCTTCTATTGGCTCTGCTAAGAGCAGGAAGAAACCTCCCTTCCTCCTTTGCAATCTAATTTCAATCTAATTCTTCGAGCCTAGAAAGAAAGATGAACTCACTCGTTTTTACTATTCCATCCTGAGACTTCTCTCTCAATCTGGATAGTATTCAACAAAACTCCACAAAGCTCTCATACATAGATTTATTGAAGAGAATCAAAGCACATGTAGAAATATTACTCACATTCCAATAGTCTGTTGTTTAGCTCTGAATGAAGATGGTTAGAAAGCTTTATATGAATTTCTCTTTGGAGTTTGTGGAGTTATGTAAGACAAGTAAGTAAATATTCTTTTCCCTCAGATAAAGTCTACAAGGAGATGGAAGATGTTTTTGGTTCCTCTCGCTCAATCTCCTATCAAGATCGTAAGAAACTACCTTATACCAATGCAGTGATTCATGAGATCCAGCGTGCTAAATATATATTGCTTTTCGGGCCACCTAGGCAGAGTGTGAAGGATGTAAACATACTTGGTTATCCCATTCCCAAGGTACAGACTCCGCTTTCTTTGCTTCATAGCCATTTGGGTCCACTGTGCACATTCTCTCCACATCTCTTCTCTATATATTATGTGGACTGAAGATAACATGAGCCTGGTGAAGTTGACTTCTATATTAGGAAATGTATTGTTTATTTATTAAATTTATACACCATCCTCCATCCAAGGATCACAGCAGTTTACAGTGTAAAAACACAAAAATATATAACATAGTAACAAACAAAACAATAACCCAGCCATGCCTCTAGGTGCAATTCTGTTAAATCAGAATTGTGTAGAAAAATTGGGTCTTAACAACCTGTTTGCAAGCTAATGCCCTGCCTGGATATAGGTTGAGTCATTTGTTTCTTCCTTGCAGGGAACCTTTGTTATTCCAGATCTGCGCTCTGTTCTTTACGATCCGAAACAATGGGAGAATCCTAGAGAGTTCAATCCAAATAATTTTTTGGACAAGGATGGAAATTTTGTGGCTAGAGAAGAATTTCTGGCATTTGGAGCAGGTAAATGATTAAGTGATTCATAACCATGTTTACCGGGTTGCTTCAATGAGTTCAAGCTTTGATCAGGAAGGTGTGATAGGGTACAAAATATAGGTGGCATTGCAGTACCAGGCACACAGCCAACAGAAATGAACTTTCATTTCGTAGAGTGGATGCTATGAAGCAAACACTACAAGCAGCAGTTAAAACAATTGCTCTGTGAGATATGATCCTACTCCCACATTGCAGTGTTTTTAGCCAATGAGTGAATGTGGTTAGGTATTGGAAAGAGCAGAGATCTCAGGGCAGGCAGAAAGAATACATAACTGCTGTGTGGCAGGCAGATATTCAATAGGTTAATGTTTTTCTAGTATAGATATTCAAATATGGGAAAACTTCACCGGCTGGCATTTGTCTTTTATTACCTGTGTGTGACTCATTCCTTATTACTGAGTCCTCTGTCCACCCCACCTGCAGAAGAGAATACAACTTTTCATATGGAATGAAGTGTATGCATATTTAATCCAAATTTGTGTCTTCTTCTGCAAGTGCGTGGGACGCGGGTGGCGCTGTGGTCTAAACCACAGAGCCTAGGGCTTGCTGATCAGAAGGTCAGTGTTTCAAATCCCTGCAACGGAGTGAGCTCCCATTACTCAATCCCAGATCCTGCCAACCTAGCAGTTTGAAAGCACGTTAAAGTGCAAGTAGATAAATAGGTACTGCTCCGGTGGAAAGGTAAGCGGCGTTTCAGTGTGCTGCTCTGGTTCGCCAGAAGCAGCTTAGTCATGCTGGCCACATGGCCCAGAAGCTGTCTGCAAACAAACGCAGTTTCCCTCGGCCAGTAAAGCGAGATGAGCGCTGCAACTCCAGAGTCGGCCACGACTGGACCTAATGGTCAGGGGTCCCTTTACCTTTACCTGCAAGTACGTATAGACTCTGAAACAGGTCACAGTAGCCTTCTCAACCCAAGGGAAAACATGGGGGAGAAGGGTTGAGTCACATACTTCTAAGCAACCTCTGTTGCCAGTTAACACTGAGATCCAGCGCCGAGGGCCTTCTGGCAGTTCCCTCATTGCGAGAAGTGAGGTTACAGGGAACCAGACAGAGGGCCTTCTCGGTAGTGGTGCCCACCCTGTGGAACACCCTCCCTTCAGATGTGAAGGAAATAAGCAGCTATCCTATCTTTAAAAGACATCTGAAGGTAGCCCTGTTTAGGGAAGTTTTTAATTTTTAATGCTGTACTGTTTTTAACACTTGATTGGGGGCTGCCCAGAGTGGCTGGGGAAACTCAGCCAGATGGGCGGGGTATAAATAATAAATTGTTGTTGTTGTTGTTGTTGTTGTTGTTGTTGTTGTTATTAAACTGGCAGGCTATCTATAAATTAAGGGTAACTCTAGATAGCATGTGTTGTGAAACCTACTGAAAACAGTAAGATCAAAGACCGCCTTGAAACTTGAGAACAGTGGCAAGCCATGTAAAGAAAAGTCATAGAACATGGCTTCAAATAAATTGTTTAGCATACATGACACTTTTAAAGCATTACTGTCAGCTGTCAAAACTCTGGGGAGAATGCAAATCATTAGCTGCTGAATCTAGGCTATAATCCAAGAAGACTGTTAATGCTATTCTTCAGCAGCCAGAAAGAGATGAACAGGTGTCTGCCTCTTCTCCCTGCATATATCTGGGACAGGTGATTTTGTCTTCTTCTTTTTCCTGGTTAGTGAGCCAATTGATGGAGTGTGTCACACTGAGCTATCAGACTTTCATCATCAGTCTCCCAGCGAAGCCTGAGAATAGTCACAGGACCTAAAGCTCCAGCTCTGGTAGAAGATGGGAGGTTTCTGAAGAGGCTGTCAGCACTTTCCCATTCAATTTAAGCAAACAGCAGAAAGAGCAGTCCCCATCTATAGCTTATGCCTGCTCCATAGAGATGATTGGTGCACAGCTTAAAGGTCTTATCTTAAAGGTGTTTCTCGATACAAAGGTCTACAGGATGGCTCTTCTGCCAGGGGATCTCTTAGGACAAAAAAACTGGTTTGACCAGTATTTGTGACATTGCTATATTCAGCGTCTGGAACCTTCTCTTAACACTCCAAGTATTGATTAAATTCTAACATTTACTAAACCTAGAAATTACGAGGAGGATCAGGCTCTCCATGAGGCAGAGCTTACTACAATGATCCAAAGTTTAGGGGATCCTTCTGCCCCCAAACTTATAGCTCAGTTGATTCGAGTGTGGTGCTGATAACAGCAAGGTTGCAGGTTTGGTCCCTGTATGGGTCAGCTGCATATTTCTGCATTGCAGGGGGTTGGACGAGAGGATCCTCAGGGTCCCTTCCAACTCTAGAATTCAATGATTCTATGATTTTATATATTTGAGGGAGAACAGACTAAGAAGAAGATCAACAGTGCAGAGCCTATGCATTTTTTAATAATAATAATAATAATAATTTAAAAGGAAACTGTGCCAATTCCAGGAGGCAGAACTTACTACAATGATCCCAATTTTAATGCAATCTTTCCCAAACCAAGTTCTTCTATGACAGAGTATCCCTATATCTTACTTGGTTGTTCCATTAGCCTCATGAGAAATAGGGGGGAATCTTATGCTCTTCCAAAATATTATGTATAGTATTATTGAATTTGTTTTCAGGATGCAGAACGTGTGGCTAGCTATACTTTTGCAACTGTCTACATTTGGTGAAAGTTATTGGTGGCACTTGAATCATATGACAGTTCAAATTAGAGTTACTGCTGAAATTGGGTTTATAGCAGTGGGGTTTTCCATGAGAACACTTTTGGTGGTAGGTAGGAAACTTGGCCCACCCAGATACCTTACTGAGATTTTAAACTAGTTGCTGAGAGTTGGATTTGGTGGGAAATGTTTTGCTCACTTCCCACTTTCTCCTTATTTCCTCTTCAGGAGCCCGTGCATGTATTGGGGAGCAGATGGCGAGAATTGAGCTGTTCCTTTTTTTCACCAGCCTGCTGAGGGCATTCAGCTTCCACATACCAGAAGCGAAGAAACTCAACAAAGAGCCTGTAACAGCGTTGACAATGCATCCCCGTCCTTATACACTCTGTGCTGTTCCCCGCAGCAGTTCATCGTAAAGCATATATTGTAAAAAATGTATATACTTCCAGCGTCTTATATCTTACTGTAAATTTCTACATCGTTCTTGTTCTCTTCATCCAACATGCATTACAGGAAGCTGGAGTAGATCCCGTTCAACTCTGCAATTCTTGAATTCTGTGGCTTTCCCTTGGTTGCTCAGGTGCTACTTTAATTGTGTGGTTTGTAGCTACACCTGAGTTTTTAAAATACTCTTTGCGCAAGATATGGAGGGGATGCTACAAACAAATCAGCTGTTGTGCAGAGGAGCGGGACAATGAAGGTATTCTTTGGAATTGAAACAATGTGAAAGGACAATGCCTGCTGTTGACTGGAATTAAGGGGAGTGGGGCAGATTCTTTTATGTTTTATTACCATAGATAATTTGCTATGATGTGCTTGAGAACAGGGGCTCAATACTGCACAATCTAAAAAACAAGTTATAAGCTCTTTTTATTATTATCATATATGCACATGGGGAAGAAGCCTCCAGTTTGAGGAACTACTGAGTGAGATCCCATGGTCAGAAACACTCAAGGAGACAGGAGTCCATGATGGATGGGAGTTTCCTAAAGGTGAAATATTGAAGGCACAAATGCAGACAATTCCGGCAAAAAAGAAAAGTGGGAGGCATCTAAAGAAACTGGTTTGGCTGCATAAGGAGCTTACAGATCAGCTGAAATTTAAGAAGGGCGTGTACAGGCAACCCTCGATTTGCACAGGAGTTGCGTTCTGGGTCATCGTGTGCAACAGTGGAATGCGTGTAATTCCTGCTAAGTATAATAATTTAATTGACACTGAAATGGGGAGATTCCACTTGAGTGTACTAAGCTAGAAACAGCTCTCTCTGAGCGCCTAGATAAGTTTATCATTAACTATTGTTCTTGTCCTCTGCTACCTAACGCATGAGTGTTTAACCTTAGATCACATAAGAGGCATTGAATTACAACTTCGCCATCTTGGAAAGGTGGTGGCTGAGTCGTTCTTATGCTCTGTGAGAGTAAGATGCACAGCCTCAGGCAAACTGGAAGCTGTAGGAAGAGCGAGGCCTCAGCTTTTAGGTCTGTTTGGAATTATCTTTTATTTCTAAGATGCTGAGCCTGTGCTGGACAGCACAATATATTATATGGAATTATTTGGTTGAATCATTTACTGCTTTTTGTTCCACAATTAAAGTTTTGAATCAAACAGATGGGTCTAGACAATTTTTATCCATCCAGTCAATTCAAGCTGTGCAATATTAAAATCTGAAATAAGCCCACCCCATTACACCCACCCCACCCCCTTTTACTGCTACTTCCAGGTTGTGGTAAGGCACATGTGCAATGATCATTGCTGATATAAGAAATGTAAAAAATGGGAAATCACAAAGGAGGAGCATAAACAGGTAGCTAACAGATGCAGGGTGAATGTCAGGCAGGCTAATGCTCAGAATGAGTTGAGTCTTGCAAGAGAGGTTAAAAATAATTTTAAAAGCTTTCTTCAGCTATGTTCAAAGCAGAAGAACAGGTGAGGTTCCTACAGACTGGAGGTGAGCAAAAAGGAATACCCAGATAACTACCAACCAGTGAGCTTGACATCAATACCAGAGAAGGTCCTAGAACAGATAATTCAACAGTTGGTCTGTGAGCACTTAGAAAAGAATGCTATGATTACTAAGACCCAGCATAGGTTTCTCAAAAGTAAGTCATGTCAGATGAATCTCATTTCTTTTTGATGGAGTTATAAGCTTGGTGGGTCAGGTGAATGATGTGAATATTGTGCATTTTTATTTCAGTAAGGCTTTTGACCAAGACCCCCATGATATTCTCGCAAGGAAGCTGGTAAAATGTTGGTTGAACTAGGTAATTGTTAGGTGGATTTGTAGCTGGTTGACTGATGGAACCCAAAGAGGAGTCATTAATGGTTTCTCATCACCCTGGGAAAAAGTGACAAGTGGGGTGCTGCACAGTTCTGTCCTGGGCCCATTTTTGTTTTTAAATGACTTGAATGAAGCAATTGATTGGATGCTCATCAAATTTGCAGATGACACCAAACAGGGAGGGCTGGGAGAAGACAGAATCAGTATTCAAAATGGCCTTAACAGATTGGAGAACTGGGCGCAAACTAACAAAATGAATTTCAGTAGGGACAAATGTAAGGTTCTGCACTTAAGCAGGAAGAACCAGGTGAATAAATATAGGGTGAGGGACAGCTTGTGGGAAATAGCAGATCTTCAGCCCGTAGTTTATGGAAGTGAGGCATACCTTAGCTTCCACTCTAACCAACGCAATCTCCAGTCATAACATGGCATCTGATACACTTCTAGGGACTTTTACCATCATTCTTAGGAATTATGATTGAACTTGCTCTAAACAGAATAAAAGGGAAGGTGGTGGTCCTAAAATGGTACCATATAACAGTTGGGCCAAAACTTTAGCCTGGTATAGTTTTGGAGCTGCGTGAGTGTAGTGGCCACCCCTAGTCTGGAGAAATTTGAGGATGTTATGCACAGATTTATTTATTTTTTACCATTTGTAGCAGGAAACACCCCCCCAATCATTCAGTTTGTACAAACTTCACACACACTCACACTCACACACTACATACGCTATGCTTCTGTTATAAATTCATAGAAAAGCAACCATACATCGGATTTGCACTGTTCCACTTTTATTTTACTCCATGAAGGAAGGACTACAAAATGGAGAAGGTTTGATACAGGCTACCATAATCCCTTGAGCATACCAGCACATCCACAGGAGCCCTGCCCAGTTGCTATGCCAACCCTGATGGTCTCAGACAGAAGACCATCAACAACACAACGGACTGCATACACGAGTGGATTCAACACGGACTATAACAAAAGAACAGTGATTGGATTCCCCCTCAGGGCAGGAAACTGCGACTACCTTTTGTCTTCTGAAAATGACTCATGGGGAGGGGGAGAAGGGAACCAGCCAGGTGACAGAACACTCAGGTTACCACCACCACCCCTCCCTCAACCCCTCCTTTCTGTGATGTATGCATGATGTTTCTGGGGGTGGGCTTGATCTACAGGATGGGAATTTCAAAAGTTTTTATAAGACCTTGCACACCATTTTTCTCTGTCTTTCCTCTCTCCTGCAAGTGAGGGGTTCAATAAAGGCCAAGCCTACAGGCTGATGTTTTGCTCCAAGTTATCCTGGTTGGTGTCTTTGTTTTTGTCCAAGGGAGCCCTCGGATTTTTCCATTAACACCATTGTTGGTTACTTGAATGTTATGGGCTTTCCTTGAGCCAGAGGCCTGGAAAATTACACCTAGATATGAAAGGTCAGCATATCTTCAATTTTATGGCCTCCAATGGCAGGGGCGTAGGAAGGGGAGCGGTGGGGGCACTCCGCCCCGGGTGCCATCCTTGAGGAGGGTGACAAAAAGGCTTGAGCTGCCAACGCCACAGCACACAACGGCTCGCCCCGGCACCGCAGCTCGCAGCGGATCACACCACCCCCTGCGCAGCTCGCCCCAATGCTGATGCCTCAGTGGATTGCACCGCTCCCCCCCCCCACAGCTTGCCCCACCACCGATGCTGCAGAGCACAGCAGACTGCACTGGCCACCCCCCTGCGCAGCTCGCCCCACCATTAACCTGCACTTCTGGCTGGAGGAGGAGGCAGGCAGGCAGGGGAGAGGAGACAGGTGAGCAAACAATGGAGGGGGCGGGAATGGGCGCCCCCCATCCTGTCCATCCCTATTGGTGCCACTCTCCCCATCCCATTCATCCCTATGGGTACCCAAGAGGCTTCCTCCGCCGCTGTCCAATGGTCCATGTTCTAATCTTGTTTCTTATTAAATGCCATTATCTTTGGGGGGGGATCCTGGTGATTTATTGTAAGGGAATCTTCATTACAATATTGTTCTAAGGCTGGAATCCTTGATAAAATTGCAGCAGCATCTGCATACAGCAGAACTGAAATACAATGATGGTGTAGCTTGGGAGAATGGAGCTTTTGTCTGCTTGGGCTTTTAACCAGGTCGATAAAAGCCTTTGATCAATGTTTGTGGCCTCTAACTTGTGCCAGAGTTTAGACCTAGAGATGGAATCAAAGGCCCCCTTTAGATCTATAAAGGCGATGTACAGTGATACCATGCTCCATGATGAGTATTTCACCTTGAGATGTTGGAGGATCATATAGTGGTCTATGTTACTCTTGCCTTCTCTAAATCCCACCTGTTGAGATATACTCAAATGAAAATCAGCTACTCTGCACTCAAATTTAACTGCAGGTTCTCTTAATATGAAAATCACAAAGGCACATTCCAACAACAACAACACTGACCCCTGCAGGTAATTGCTGCCGTTTGGAATGAAAGCATGTTTGTGCTCAACTAGACCTTTTGCAGCAAGAAAAAATAAGTTTCCTCAGGAAATCAGCCTTTAAGCTCATGAATAGAAAGACTGGGGTGTAATGCTGGTTTCTTTCTTTACACCTGATGTTACTGTCTAGGATGAGGCTTCATTTACACCTGAAGCCTGATCCATTACCTCCTGTAGCTGGCAGCCTGGAATGGGTTACAAAATTACAAAACATGCAGCAAAGTAGAGTGTGGAAATATAGGCAGTTAAAGCTTTAAAATGTCCTGTTCGAAGTTCCTTCCAAAATCACACAATTCCCTTAGTATAGAAGAGACTGTTAGTGCAATTTCACCCATTTTTTTCAAATTACACCAAGTGTTTGGCCCATGTCTTGAGCAGCCCATCCTCCATGTCTGGATTCTGCTTAGAGCTAGCATGCCAGCTGCACTGGGTGGCTTAGAAACAGTCCAAGACTAAATACCTGGAACATGACTCGCCCACCCTCCCTTTCTCTAAGGAATGTGTGTATGTACAGAGGCAGGTATAAGGCCAAGACTGCATTCAGCCGCATTGGCAGGAGTGTGAAGTAGCCACTGAGAAGAGGTTTTGCTCAGTGCAAGGTAATCAGCAGAGAAGCTGAAGATTGCATGCTGTAAGTTTCAGTATAGCATGCTGAGCTAGCATGGTAAAGTGCTAGTGGATCTCTCTGTACACTTATATCATTGCAAGGTTTACCGTACTTTTAAGTAAACAGGCACTGTCTTTATTGTATTTTTGGCACCTGTTGAAGAATTTCCTCTTCAAACATGCCTTCTAAGTGATTACTTTTATCGCAGTCAGTATCTGAATTTAGCTGAAATTGTTTTTATATATCCAATGGTATTAATTCTTTTCACAAATGCAGTTGTTTTGCATATGGTTTTTACTGTACCGTGAAATCACTTTGAGATGCTTAATCAGAAGCATTTAGTAAAAGAAATAAATAAACATGGTTCCTATCCCCAACACTGCACAAACACACGTTTGCGGCAGGGAAGAAACCATTCACAGCTGAAAATGGCAGGTTCACCATGATTGTGTGGGTGCATTGTGTGGATGCTTTTTAGAGGGCACCCACACAATGCCAGCACCCAATCATGGTGAACTTTATTTCCCCCTCAGTTCTTCCATCTTCTCAGACCTCATAAACTACCCCTACCCGAAACAGAAAAGTAGCACAACCTGCACAGTTGTAGATGCCTTTAGCACTATTATTCTGCCTTTTGAAAAGGTGGGGTTTTGTTGTGGGCAGAGACAGCAACATAGAATGCTACCTTACCATCTATTCAGTCTATTCAGCTCAGTATTGTCAGCACCAACTGCCAGCATGTCTCCAGCTTTCAAAGAGGGAAACTTTCCTAGCCCTACCTAGCGTTATCCTACAGTGCGTCCATTTGAAAACCGATATAGACTATCCCAATAGTGGCACAGAAAGTATCTACACCTGACCAGTGGCATTGTGGGCTGGGTGTATAGCATGATCACAACCACCATTTCCTTCTTGATTCATCTGGGGCATGCGCACGGTGGAAAAGGCATAGAAAACATAATAATGAGGAGGGTTTTCACATATCAAGTAGCCATCCCTAGGCTTGTAGATGGCAGGATCTAGAATCAGTCTACAATGAAAGCAGTATGTTGAGGACAAGAATGAATGATTCTGGATCCAAAAATGCTACATTTTTGTGCTACAAATAGGTTAGTATGTCAACACAGCACAAAACTCCACCACTGACCCATCTCAGCATGCAATTCTCCCTTTTAAATGTCCAATTCAGCACTTAACAAAGAAAATACAATGACTCCATAAGCTGAAAAAGAGCAGATTCAACAAATGAGCCTCCTTTTCACCTTTGAATGGAATGGGGTAAAAATACCTAAGTTCAGATATAGAATTCAGTCCTGAGCACAGAAACTGCAAAGGGCATGGGAGGTTCCCCTCCACAGGGCACTGAGCCGAGGGGGCACAAAATTGGGAAGACACATAATTGAGAATATCTGTTTGGGGGTGCCAAATTTTGGCCTAGCTCAGAGTGCCATATTATCAAAGATTACCAACTCTGCCCCTGCAACAAATGAGGGATATTTTAATTGGTCCAATGATAGTAGAACTGAGAAAGCCAAGGACAGAATGTCAGTCAAAGTGAAAAATAATAATAATGGAGAAATTTATGGCAATAAATAAATAAACCACGGTAATTATTTTTATATGCTTCCTGATGCACTGCAGCGGGGAATAGCACAGAGTTTGTGAGGGTGGGGGTGCAATGTCAGCCCCAAAACAGGCTTTTTATTGAGTTCTTTCACTCCTTCTGGCAGCTGGAAGCGGAATGCCCTCAACAGGGTGGTTAGGAAGATGAATATCTCCATCTTGGCCATCTGCTCTCCCACACAGGCTCGAGCCCCTGCAGAAGAAAGAAGGGGGAAGCAGCAAGTGAGACATAACCAACTCCATGTATTCTCCAGTTCAGCTGGTTTGCTCAGCTAGTAGTTTTAGCCACAACAACAACAAAAAGCTGGAAAACAGCTACTCCCAAAGTATCTCCCTTGAATCCTCTGGGTTGACATCCTAAGGATCCTGGCTTTGCTCCAGGAAATACTGGAAGCTGACCTTGAGTGGCTGCAGTTCCCAAAGGAAGACTAAACTTGAAAGAAGAGTGAGAATTTGGATATGGAGCATACAGGTCATGGCTGTATCACTATATGTATTACTTTGGGAAAGCAGGTCCAACTACTGCCAGAACAGCTTAAGGCAGGGGTCAGCAATGTGCGGCCCATGAAGACCACTTTACCATCCTACGAGCTGCCCCTGAACCAAGCCATCCGCTCAACAAGTCCCCCGCGCACTGCACTAAACCAGTGCAGCACGGCACAGGGACACGCCCGGCACCAGAAATTGTGTCTGCGCATGTCCAGATACTGGAAATCGCGTCTGCGCATGTCCAGATGCCGAAAATTGCTTCTGCGCAGGTGTGATTTTTGGCGTCTGGGCATGCGCAGACACGATTTCCGGCGTCGCGCTGCGCCAGTCCGGCCCACAGACGATCTCCGTGGGAGTGATCCGGCTCATGGCCGGTAAACCTTGCCGACCCCTGGCTTAAGGGAAGGAATAATCAAAGTGCACACATTGCCTGTGGGTGAATCCCCAACATCTCAGAGGAGACACCTGGTGGCCAATAGAGGCAGCTGCCACAGTGATGGAAGAAGAAGAAGAAGAAGAAGAAGAAGAAGAAGAAGAAGAAGAAGAAGAGTAGTTTGGATTTGATATCCCGCCTTTCACTCCCCTTCAGGAGTCTCAAAGCGGCTAACAATCTCCTTTCCCTTCCTCCCCCACAACAAACACTCTGTGAGGTGAGTGGGGCTGAGAGACTTCAAAGAAGTGTGACTGGCCCAAGGTCACCCAGCAGCTGCATGTGGAGGAGCGGAGACGCGAACCCAGTTCCCCAGATTACGTGACTACCGCTCTTAACCACTACACCACACTGGATCTCATGATGGAGATCCGGTCAAAGGCGACTATAGGATGCGATGCTCCTTACAACAAAAAGAAGAAATGGAGAGAGAGAGATGGAAAGAGAGCAAGAAGAGGCTGGAGCAGCTGGTTGTTCTGGGCTCACCTTCTGCAGCAGCCATAGAGAAAAAAATATTTTGTACATGGAAGTGGATGCAATTTACAACAGAGTTACAGTTTATAACTAATTCATCATTTTATGTTAATAATTTTTGGAATTTTATGAAACTTTCAGCATATAATTTTGTAAATAAAAAAGGAAGAAAACTGCAATAGATAAATATATATAGCCACTGGATCCCCCAATTCTGATTGGGGCTTTAATTCTAGGAGAGTGAAGATTTTAACCCTTCCCCTCTTAAACCATTTCCCTAAACTAAATTGCTCTTCCAGAGATGCTGTTTGCGCCAAAGCAGGGATAGCCAATGTGTTACCCTCCAAGTGCCACTACAACTCCTATCAGCTCCAGCCAGCATGGGCAAGAGTCATGGATGATGGACGTTGTAGCCCAACAACATCTGGAGAGATACCCCCTACTCTATGGAGGGAGAATTCAGATTGGAAAATGGTGTGGAAGAAGAATGTTAAATTCATTGCTCTCTCAACACTATCACTCCAACCTGATTTTTAAACCACAGGGGATCCATTCATGGCCCTCCCTCTGTTTAATCACCTTTGACCATTCACTTGTTTGAAACAAGCTACTAAATGTGTCCATGATTATTTCTACGTTTACCTGCTCCAAATGGCAGGTATTCTTCTCTAGACCTAAAATTTCCATCCGTGTCCAAAAAATGGTGCGGGTTGAACTCTTCAGGTGTTTCCCATCGTGTGGGATCGACAAGAACAGAGTTCAGATCAGTAATAACATGTGTCCTCTGAAAAGAAGAAACAGTTGGCTCAGAATGCATCTGGACCAGCACAAAACAGTTTTGCCATTCACTGCCCCAGTAATCAATCTTAACACATTTCTAACATACCATGATACAGTCTATATTTATGGTGTACAATAATCACAATATATAATTCTAATTCTGATTTGGTGCATCAGAATATAGTGTGTGTCAGCCCAAGGCACATCAGAGGCTGCTGAGTTCAACACAGGGCGTGTTTGTCTCTTCCATGCAAGAGACTTGAGGGCCTCGGATATAAGATTACCAGGTTAATGTGCTAGATTAATAGGATAAAAAGGACTGACAAAACCCGGGACCAGGAGGAAGGGACGCTGGATGAAGATTGGATTGTTTATTTCTTTTTTTTATTATCATTAGGATTGTTCTATAAAATTGATGAATGCTAGAAAAATGTTGAAATGAAATTACTTGGCTCTTGTAAAAATGTCTAAAGAATTTGGTAAGAATGTTATGGTTAGGAGAAGTTGGTAAAAATAAGATTTAAGTTTTAAACTTTAAGGTTTTCTATAAGATAAGATGAAAATAGATTAAGGTAATGTAATGACAGAATACTATGAATTATGGAAAGGATTTGCTGCTATTATTATTAATCAGGATACAAGAAAAGGGAGGAGGAGGAGGTCAAAGAAAGAAGGTATTGAAAGGGGAGAATTTGAGAATGATGGTTTTATTTTTATTTTTCTGTCTTGTCTTTTTTTGTGTAATTTAAAAAAAATCAATAAATATCATTTAAAAAAAACACAGGGCGTGTTTGAGTCTGCTCTCCTTCTGCTTCAATTTGTTGTTGGGAATTGCCGTATTTTTCGCTCTATAAGACGCACCAGACCACAAGACGCACCTAGTTTTTGGAGGAGGAAAACAAGAAAAAAAATATTCTGAATCTCAGAAGCCAGAACAGCAAGAGGGATCACTGCGCAGTGAAAGCAGCAATCCCTCTTGCTGTTCTGGCTTCTGGGATAGCTGTGCAGCCTGCATTCGCTCTATAAGACGCACGCACATTTCCCCTTACTTTTTAGGAGGGAAAAAGTGAGTCTTATAGAGCAAAAAATACGGTATATAACTTTTCTTTCCCTTTTGACAGAAGTGAATGAGATTGGCATGCATTGCTAATCCCTCACAGGTGGAAAAAGCCAAATTATAGGAAAGCAGGTCAAGGGATTCTTGTACTGGATACTTTCCTTGCAAGTTTTTATGCCTTTGGAGGTTAGATGACCATCTGTTATGGATGTTGTAGTTGAGATTCCTGTATTGCAAGGAGTTGGACTAGATGACCCTCAGCGTCCCTTCCAACTCTACAATTCTATGATTATATGTATCTTGATAAAACTTGTTATGTGTTTGGGGTTCATCCTCTCATTCCAGATCACTTATGCAATAGTCTGTTCCTTGTATTTGTCATAATAGAATTTTTTAACTTTCAGGTTATTAATCTTCAGATATTTTTTTTTTCGAGAGAGGGGAGATCCTTCTCCCTCAGATTTTGTGCTACATGTGTGCATTTAAAGTGCCACTATCAGGTGCTCTTTGCTTTCAAAATATACAGCTGTTGCCTTATCTATATCCTGTACCTTTGGAATGTGAAAACCATGCATTTCCATATCCTTTGCACTTCGCCTGGGAATCCCAAATAATAAGGGATATTTTGCACGCAAAATTTCATGCATCACCGCGTTGGTGTAAGGCAGTTTCTTTCGATCTTCATAGCAAATGGGAAGGGAGGAACCTAAAACATCTTCCATCTCCTTGTAGACTTTATCTGCAGGAAAAAGTGGGAAATGAAGCTTTACCATATTTTAAAATCCACTAGTTTTAATCTGAGAAACACACAGCAACTAGACTGTAGAGGGTGGGATGAAAAGACCCCAGTATATTAAGTGAGGCTCATTGGTAGATGCTGGCGGCACCCTGAAAATAAGAAGTTAACAATTAAATACCTTGAATGCAGCTGCATGTGGAAAAGGTCTATTGCTCTGTGGTAGAACATCTGCTTTGCATGCAGAAGGTCCGTGATTCAATTCCCAGAATCTCCAGGTAGGGCTGGGAATGTTCCTTCCCTGAAATCCCGGAGAGCTGATGGCAGCCAGTGTAGGCAATACTGAGCTGGATGGACCCTGGCCCTGACTCAGCAGCAGCCAGTTTCTCATGTTTCCACAAATTCAGAGGGGAGTTCCTTACTCTCTGGGAAGACTATTTCACCAGGAGCCAGATCAAATGTTTCTTTCACCCACTCAGTTCTGCCCTTACTGAAACTCAGTGCCTGGCTTCTCTCCCACACAGAACAGGATTGCAGCCAGTGCATGGAGGCTAGTTAGCACAATTCTATGGCTGCCCATTTCCCCCTGTCTTCCTCCTGGCAAAGTGGTTGCTTGGCCACAGTGGCGACCCACACTGTGCCCTGCTCAGCCATACCCCAAGGCAAATACCTGTGGCTGCCGTTGGAAGATTCAGGAAAGGGTAAGGAAAGTACTTCTTCATATAAGGTAAAGGGACCCTTGACCATTAGGTCCAGTCGTGGCCGACTCTGGGGTTGCGGCGCTCATCTCGCTTTATTGACCAAGGGAGCCGGCGTACAGCTTCCGGGTCATGTGGCCAGCATGACTAAGCTGCTTCTGACAAACCAGAGCAGCGCATGGAAACACAGTTTACCTTCCCACTGGAGCGGTACCTATTTATCTACTTGCACTTTGATGCGCTTTTGAACTGCTGGGTTGACATGAGCAGGGACCGAGCAACGGGAGCTCACCCCGTTGCGGGGATTCGAACCGCTGAACTTCTGAACAGCAAGTCCTAGGTTCTGTGGTTTAACCCACAGCGCCACCCGCGTCCCAGGTCTTCTTCCTATAGCACAGAGTTAAATTCTGGAATTTATTCCCACAAGATGTGATGCCCACTCACTTGAATGGCTTTAGAATCGGATTTGATGATTTTTTTAGAGGGTAAGGCTATCAATGACTGATAAACATTATGGATATGTTCTCCCTCATCCCTCCAGTGTAAAAAGTAGTACCGTATTTTTTGCCCTATAGGACGCACTTTTTCCCTTCCAAAAATGAAGGGGAAATGTGTGTGCGTCCTATGGGGCGAATGCAGGCTTTAGCTGAAGCCTGGAGAGCGAGAGGGGTCGGTGCGCACCGACCCCGCTTGCTCTCCAGGCTTCAGGAAGCTCTCCGCAAGCCTTGGGAGCCCGCGGGAGTTCCCGTCGGGCTCCCTAGGCTTGCGGATAGCAGCCTGCATCTCAAAGCCTGGGGCGCGCTGCACAGTGCGCCCCGGGCTTCAGTTCCCCGACCTGGTTTGGAGGCTGGCGGTGGGGAGAAGCGCGCTTCTCCCTGCCGCCAGCCCCACAAGCTTAGGGGACAGCGGGGAGGCAGAGCGCCACCATCCCGCTGTTCCCCGACCTGGTTTGGGCTTCAGGCAGATATCCGCAAGGCGTGGGAGCCCGGCGGGAGCCCCCTGTTCTGGGGGCTGGGGTCGGGGGAAGCTCGGGCTTCCCCCGCCCCAGCCCTGCGCCTGGAGGGAAAATAAAAATTATTTACTTTATTCCCCCCCCCCCAAAAAAAAAACTAGGTGCGTCCTATGGGCCAGTGCGCCCTATGGGGCAAAAAATACAGTATGTCTGTAAATACCAGTTGGTGGGAATCACAAGTACAGAGAATACTGTTCCAATCTGGTCCTGTTCACAAGCTTCCCATACGCACCTGGTTGGCCACTGTGGGAACTTTGTGATTTGGTGGATAATTTGTTGCATTTTTACTGGGGAGAACTGGGTACAGATTCTCCCAAGCTGATCATGGGGCATTCTGGTTGCTCTTGAGAAAATAATTGTGCTCTGAACATATATTTGTCATCCACCCATTATGACACCTTGGAAGAATCGCAACCTGCTACTAAAAAAGCAATAAATCTAAGCTCTTCCCTACAGGGATCTAGAGAGGTGCTTGCTTCCATTGCAAAGTTCTCCCTCACCTTGAACATCTGGATAAGACACCATGAGGAGCAGTCCCCATTGCAGAGTAGCAGCAGTCGTCTCTGTCCCTGCGATAAAGAGGTCAAGAACACACTCTGCCAGGTTGTCTTCATCATAGGTAGAGTTGGGGTCATCCTTGCTCTATTGACGATAATGGAAAAAGTGAAATGTTGGAATTATTTACAGGCCACACAAAATCTATCTGACCTTGGGGTGGGGGGTGTCTTCCTATCACAACACCTAATAATATGTTTTACAGCTGAGTGTGCAGGAAGATACTTGGACAGTCATAGACTGGAGTAAGAAAGGATCTCTCCAACACCCTTCTGAAGACATGCAGAATAAGAGATAATAAAAAGAAACCACAGCCCTTTCCAAGTCAGCTTTCCAAAAAAAAATTGGGGTGATGGTGCAAAAACAGTGGCATCATCTGCACAAATCCAGTGCAAGTTTATGGGTATGCTCTCCCAAACTTATTTAATAGTGGTTTGCATTGTCTGTTTGTGTACCTGAAATTACAAGGTGAACTGGGGTGATCTTGGAAATGTTTTTCTGAATCAGATCACACCACTAACAAGGCATCTCAGAGCAGATCAGGGACTTTCTACACTTCTGAATGGCTCTGTGGCTTTGTTGTCTGACCACCCCACCCCACCCCAAAATGAAATGAAGCTGGCTAGAGTAGAAAAGGAGGCTGAAAGGACATCATCATCATCATCATCATCATCATCATCATATATTATTTATACCCTGCCCACTCTGAGCAGCAAAAAGTGATTATTGATCCACCCAACCAAAACCACCACAATAAATCATCTATTACCCCAAATGAAGCAATTTAAAGTCCAATTTCCCCCAATACAGTCGTACCTTAGTTGTCGAACGCCTTATGGCTCGAATGTCTTGGCTCCCAAATGCTGCAAATCTGGAAGTTCCTGCAGCCAGTCAGAAGCTGCACCTTGGTTTTCAAACGTTTTGGAAGTCGAATAGACTTCCGGAATGGATTCCCTTTGGGAACCAAGGTACAACTGTATATTGAATTATCCCTGTATTAGGTACACCCAAATTTACAGAGGGAAAGAATCAAGACGGTGCTGTTTGAGGGTAACTTCATCTGGACTACACAAAGTAAGTGGGAACTCAGACACAAACACACATTGTAGTGTGGACAGGCCCCAAGTGCCTGGAGTTGACAGTGGATGCTTACTTTCTCCATCTGAAGTAGATAGAAATCAATGAAATCCTGTGGCTCATCCTTTTGTTGCTCTTTGTGCCTTTCTAACTCCTCCTTTGCAAATGAAAGTACCAAGTCTGCGGAGGCAAATAACTTCCTATGAGGCCCTGGGAAATGTTTCATGAGCCATGGGAAGACTTCATACAGCTGCAGAGGAGGAGAAAGCAAAAACCACAAGTCACTACCACAAATTGGTTTGGTAACAAGGTCTATCAACAAACTCATTTGGACTGGCACTTGAGCATCATGGCCTGGATTATTATTGAGGCTGTGGCTAAATGTCTGTGGGCGCTCTTCGACCCAGAGTTACTCCCGGGTGGCAGGTGGCAGAGTGCTTTTACATCACTTCAGCTGGCAGTGAATTGGGCATACTAAATAGGACCACACTAGAAGATAGGTTGGGATGTTTAACCAGTACAAAAATGCAGCTGCCAGCAGTCAGTTCATATAACATTCATTTTACACCATTCTTACGTATTTTTAAGCCCTTCATGACCCAGGACCAGGGTCCCTAAAGCTGTATTCTCCTTTCAGAACCACAACTTCCATCTCTGAGCCCTGCTCTGGGTCCCATCACCATTAGAAATAGAGCAGCTGGCAGAATTCTTGGAGAATTTCCCATAGTGGCAGCAAAAACATGAAATACCCTTTCTAGGTAGTTCCTCCTAAACTTTTCTGTTTAAGTGAATAAACATGGTTCTGAAGATGATCTGTTGATGGATAGATGCTGCTGTGTTCTGAACTTAACTAACCTGTCTGTTCTGATTCTGCTACATATTATTTTAATAAGTTTTTAAAAGGTGTTGAAGTTATGATTATATTGCTTCTGAATTTTTGTGGGGTTTTTTTGTTCATTCCTGGTTTCTCTTTAGCCTCTTTGAATACTTTAGAGAAAAGTGAGGTATATATGTATTAAATTTATGTGAACTATCAAAGCTTAAGGACACAGTGCTAAGGTGAATTATTTTCACATTTTGGTTCATTTTTGTTGCAAAGAGTTTAGTGCAGCATTCATTCATTCAGCAGTCGGTCTGTGAGCACTTAGTAAAGGATGCTGTGATTACTAAGACCCAGCATGGGTTTCTCAAAAGTAAGCCATGCCAGATGAATCTCATTTCTCTTTTTGATGGAGTTACAAGCTTGGTGAATCAGGGGAATGTTGTGGTTATAGTGTATCTTGATTTCAGTAAGGCTTTTGACAAAGTCACCCATGATATTCTTGCGACAAAACTCATAAAACATGGGTTGAATGAGGCAACAGGTGGATTTGTAGCTGTCACAAAGAAAATGGAGCCAGCTTGTTTTCTCCTATAATAATAATAATAATCAGGTTCAGCTGAAACTCACTAGATCTCAGTTCCGGCACCTCTTAGCTTGGCACCATTGCCATTATAAGAAAACAAGGGAGGCGTTAATGGTGAGTTGTGGCACCTTTTTTTCCTAAAAAAATAACGATTATTATTGTTATTATTATTATTTTATTATTATTATTATTATTATTATTATTATTATTATTATACCCTGCTGCAAAGGGTAGGACTTGAACCAAAGGCTTCAATTTTCAAGAAAGGAGATTCTGACTGAACATCAGGAAGAACTTTCTGACAGTAAGAGCTGTTTGACAGTGGAATGGACTCCCTCAGGAGGTTGTGGACTTTCCTTCCTTGGTATCAGCTTGGCTGCAGAAGTTGCTGGAAGGAGGCATCCAACCCGGATTTAAATTCACATATCCCTCCAATGAATCGAGTACTCTGAGGGCTCAAGCACACTTCTGCTTGTGTCCTGCTTTCTAGACACAGATCCAAACGGTTTTTCATTTTCCTGCCACTTTCCCCAGGAAAACCCACTGTTTATCACTGAATTGGAACAACAACTCACAGAAAAAGCAACTGACATTTGTTCCAATTCAGTGGTGAACAGCAGGTTTTTCAGGGGGAGAAACCTGCAGGACAAATGGAAGTGTAGATGAGCCCTAAGATTTAGGAGTACTGCCATAATGTTCTGCAAATGCTTATTTGAGTTAGGGCCTCTGGGAATCAAAAGTCTACTCACCAGGTGAAGTAAGTTATTTGAATCTTTCAAGATGCAATCAACGGCATCGATCAATTTTTGGAATTTTTCATCTTCAAGAGAAAATCGGTATCCAAAAGCCAAAACACATATCAAGCTGGACACTGCATTAGTGATGGGGAGGGAAAAATCATGTGGTTGCCCTGCAAATGAAATCATTTACATTTATATCTCGGAAAGCTGCTAAGATCAATTGCTATTTTAAAAATATTTGAATAAAAGTGAAAACGTATAAAATTCCATTCCAAAATGTGCAGAGATTGTGCATAAAGATCGCTGCAAACTGGGATAGGTATCAGCATCATTACTTACCATATTTACGTGAAAGTAATGTGCACCTTTTTTGGCCAAATTACAGTGTGAAAATTAGGGTGCACATTAGATTTGATGGCGCATTTGCATTTGCCAGCAATTTTTTTTTGGTTTCAGGGTTTTGAAAACTGAAGTGTTCATTAGATTGGAGGGTGCATTAGATTCATGTAAATACAGTAATATCACATACCTTTTGCATGTGCAAAGACCTCTACAAGACGATGGGCTTCCTCTTGTATTTGGAACTCCATGCCTTTCTTCCCCAGACCCAGCTTCCGCAAAGTAATGACACTGAACCGTCTCTGCTGCTTCCAGGTGTGACCATTTGAAAAGACCAAACCTAAAACAGGAAGGAATCAATGAGAAAACATTACTCACAAAAATGCCATATTTTTAAAATTGTCAGTCAACCAAGATGAGACCAAATTTAGTGCAGATAATACCTATGTATTTCAGAGATGCCATTCTTTCACAGCCTAAGAACTGCAAGACTAGCACAGAATCTGTCTAGTACAGTGATATTCACCAGCACTGTACCCTTCAGAAAATGCCTATGAGGCCATCACTCCCTCTTGTCTTCAAGCACTGGAACTTATTTCATTATAACACACAGGATCCTTCCAGATATCCTTTTAATTGTGCATTCATGATTATTTGTGATTGTTATGTTATTGAGGTGGTCACACTGCTTCATTTCCTTTTCTTTTAATAGAGTTTTATTAAAAGTTTTAACATATTAAGCAGTAAAATCCAAACTCTTTTATAGAAAGATAAGAAAAGGCAACATATCAAGAAAAGAATACCGAGAGTTGATTCCCCCCATCTCCCACCTGGGAGGTCTCCCCGTTCCTCAGCTTCACAGCCTGAGAAAACCCTCTCTGATTTGTCTTCCACAGATCCCTTCTTTTTCTAATCCTCAGTTCTCTGTAAACGTCCTCCTTTATCACAGATATATATTTTCAAATATTAATTCCTGCATATAAGTAATACTTATAGAAAACTATAAAAAAGGTTCATAAAAAGCCAAATCAATAAAGAAAAAACCTAAACATAAAAAGAAGAGACTGCTTCATTTCCAATAAGTGCATATCCTATAACTTTCTGCTGAAATCCTATAATTTTTTTGTTCTGGTTTATTTTGGTTCCACTTTTTTGCACTTTAGTCCCTCTGGACAGCAATCATGTAGCATTGGGGAGGCATCACAGGATTAATGAAATCAGAAGATATTCACCACTAAATTCCTTCACTCTACTTCTCATGCACGGAAGAGTCAGTTCTTCCTGTCAAATCTGTAGTGATCAGGTGGGATTACTATGAGGAATTATAAAATATGCATCAAGCCATTGTGTCCACGATGAATGCATTGTGTTGACTGGGTTTGATACATTGACAATAATTTCTGACCAAATCCCACAACCCTCTGCATCTCTGGCCATTTCCTCTACTGCCCATTTCTCTCTCTTCACAAGTCACGTACACAGCCCAGTTGCTCGCCAGGCAGGCTCCTGGGTCATCCTTTGATGTAGGATGTTAATCTTAGGGCCGGGAAACAGATCTCACATGAAGGTGATAATGATCGCTGTCCTCCTGGCCGTCCTCCTTATCATGTATATTGCTTGTTTATCACCTCCAGGGTTGCCAAATGCTCTTCTTTGTAGTTCTGTTCTTTGTTTACCCCGTGCTTAATTAGTTTTTGGTGGAAATCTGATTGGTTCTTATGAACACTCTGTAAAAAGTTCTTTTGTGAATAAAACGGCCTGGGGGGGGGGGGCTGTGGTGGGAATGCCTCAAGTGGTGCCCCGTGTGAGACAACCTAAAAAACATGTGAGGCTAACTTAAAAAGGAAACCGTGTGAGGCTTGTAAAAAAATCTCAGCTTTTGAGGCACAGCAAAAGGAAACCCCCAGGATTGGACTCCCCTTGGAGCTAGCAACCTGCTATCCCTCAGTCGCGGTAGATCATCTCCTGCAAAACGATTCCCGGACTGAGGATCTCATTCGCTCGGAACGAGCCCCAAAGATGTGCGTCTATTACCCTTCAGGTGAGATCATGGGAAGCAAGCTTTCACATGAGCAGGAAAAGCATAGGAATAATTTGTTATTTTTGCTAGCTCAGGCAGGGCATGATAAGCATTTAGCACCCCAGTAGAAAATTTGTTGTTAGAGATTGAGAGATTGCTAGACTGTGCCCCTGCTTTCCAGAGGGAGGTACTTATGAGATTAAGAAATGGAATGAGCTGGGAGATGCACTCCATAGACATCCTGATGAATCTGTACAAGTCTTGCACACCTGGCATTTGTGTAGAGATGCGGTTGGAAAGCTCTCTAACCCTTTGCTCCAACCACCAGTTGTCTCTTTGAATGCTCCCACATTGTTGCAACCCCTAGCTGCTTTTAAAAATACCATAATATTGTTCCCGCCATCTCAGCCTCTAGATACTGATATGGAAGGGGGGGGCATGTCTTCTTCACCTTCTTCTTCGCTACAATATATCCATTTATTTCCGAGTCCAATTGTCAATGTCAAAAGGGACTAAAATCTATAAAATTCATAGAAAATCAACGTGCCAATTTGCTCAATTTCTCTAGAACTCCATGACACCTCCCCTGTCCTCCATAATCCCTCAAGCAAGGTTTCAAGACCCTAATCCTGTCAAATCACTCTGCCAAGCCTTTCCTCCAGGCAATGCCAGGTGGCAGACTATGCATACATGGACCATTGTCTTCTCATCACCGATACTCAGGATGTGCTTATCTGCGCATATCTCCAGCTCTGCATATTCCCCCTCCCTTCTTCATATGTTAATCCTGTGTAACCCAACCTCTTCTTAATGTATTCATGATGTAATCTGTGTAACCCAACCTCTTCTTAATGTATTCATGATGTAACTGGGATGTATTTTGCACTGTATTCTGGGACATGGAGGGAAGTTTCAAAAGTTCATGTCACCCCTTTCTCGCTGTTCAATCTCGCCTTGAACCTGTTGCGCAATAAACTTGGATCTTCTGCAGCTTGCTCCTGTCTCCGGCTGAGCTCATTTTCCTCCGCAGGGACCCGCGGACTTAGTCCGACGAGCTGGGTGGCAGAGCAGCCTCGCACCCAGATTTTACCATAACAATTTCCAGCCTCTTTCTGGGGTCATGCCAAAGGTAATTCCATTGGCACCTTCCTTTGCCAAAAATTTGCCTGGGTCGAATGTAAATTCCATGCCACCTTTGGTGGACCAATGCCCACAAGGGGCTCAGACCACAGTGCAAAAATTGACTATGCCAAATATGGCAGAAGGAAGCAGTGAAGAAAAAATAACTGACACCTTACCATTATTAGCAGTCTGTCCTATTGTTTAGAATGCACAGGAACAGAAAGCCCATGAATCATTGGACTTCGCAGTTTTTAAACAATTGAAGCGTAGTGTGACAGAAAATGGCTTGCATGGTATTCTTGATGAGCTAAGAGCAGCCAGTACTTTAATTCCAAACCTTGAAGCCTCTGAAGTTTCAATGAAACAATTGGCTTATGAAAACGCAAATGCTGATTGCAAGACTGCTCTTAAAGCGATGCACCAGAAGCCAGAAACAGAGATTGCTCAAATGATTAAGCCTTGCCAGAATATTGACACTGAGACTCACAAATCTGCCCTCCTAGCAGCAGCTTTGTCTCCTTCAGTGCATCCTGCTAAAGACAGGCAATGCCAGGACAGGTGGCCTTCCAGCCTGAGTTTAAATGGGAGAACAAAGACTGTTGTGCCAGCTGATTGTCAGTTTTTTAGTGAAGCTAAATTAGCAGAGCCAGCTATTGCTTCTAACACAGTTGCTTTTAACACACTGTCTCCTGTGACAAATCTGCGCCATGCCGCTAAGGGCAGTGCTGGTTTGAATCCAATGACAGCAGAACTTGCTACTTTTCAGTTCCAGTTCCCTATGGTGGTTTATAAAATTAAGACATAGCATACAAGTCTGGTTCCACCTCAGACATTGAGACTCATTCTTCATCGCTATTGCAGTCTGTTTTTTCTCCTTTCTTCCCTGAACTTAAAATTCCTAATGAATTTACTTTGCAGCAGTTGCAGAGTTTTGGAGTCACTTCATAGGCATGATTTTCCTTAATACAATATTTTTACCTAATTCTACAGAACTACTTTTTTCCCCAGAAGTTGCTGACAGAATTTAGAGAATTTAGATTTTAGAGTGGCTGCATTTGCCTAACACTGGATATGATATTGCTGCTTATTATTTGCTTTTTTCTAAAACAGGAGCACGAGTCCTTAATGAGTTCTTCTCTTTCCTATCAGTTTGCATTTATGGATTAACTTGGGATAGTTTGTTTTAACCCTCCTAAAGGTCCACACCTAGTTTTAATTCAACAGGTACCCTAGAAATTGGTTTCTGTCCAAAAACAGGTTCCTATTCAACACCTCTAGACTGTTTTAACGTATAAGGATTCTGAAAATAACTGGCATATTTTTTTGCAGCTAATCAGAAAACTGACAGAGACCAGCCTACACTTCCACTGCATTTTGTGATTTTGTGTGAAGTGGGATATCTTTATATCACATTTGGCTAATTCCTATCTTTCTCCTATGCTAGATTTTAATCTACTCTCTTTGTTCTTGACACTGAAATATCTCTTAACACATAGAACTATACCTTTCTACGCTGCTCATGTTTGCCCTCGCAGTTCACTCCCATACAGGATTCAAAGATGTAATTGCAGAAGGAACTCAACGTGCTGATTCTGCTCTGAAATCTTTCTGTCCATTCTGTCCATTATTTTCTAATGCAATTGATAGCCATGCATTTTTCCACCAGGAAGCTAAGCAGCTGCATTAAACTATTTTTTCATTCCTCTGACACAAGCTAAGGATATTGTTCATGGATGTCCTTCCTGTGCTTTAACTCCTGTTAACTTTACCTTAAATCAATTAACTGTTTCCTTTCCTAATAAATTTTCTCCTATGGAACGCCATTGTAGGGAAGAGGTACCTCTGGAATGCCCTCTAGTGACGTACCAGCAGCTCCCCAACCCGCAGTGAGAGAGACCTGTTCCTTTGATTACCGTATTTTTTGCCCTATAGGACGCACTTTTTCCCCTCCAAAAATGAAGGGGAAATGTGTGTGCGTCCTATGGGGCGAATGCAGGCTTTCGCTGAAGCCTGGAGAGCGAGAGGGGTCAGTGTGCACCGACCCCTCTCGCTCTCTAGGCTTCAGGAAGCTATCCGCAAGTCTTGCAAGCCCGGGATGTCCCGCGGGCTCGCAAGGCTTGCGGGCAGCAGCCTGCAGCCCACAAGCTCGGGGGATAGCGAGGAGGCGGAGCGCCGCCACCCCGCTATTCCCCGATCTGATCTGGAGGCTGGCGGGGGGGGAGAAGCAAGTTTGCTTCTCCCCCCTGCCAGCCCCACAAGCTCGGGGGATAGCGGGGAGGTGGAGCGCCACCACCCCGCTATTCCCCGACCTGATCTGGAGGCT